GAAGCCGAGTTCGCAGGCTGGAGGTTGCAAATTGGAGGGATCTCAGTTCACTGCAATCTCCGCCTCCAGGGCTTCAAGAAATTCTCCTCCTCAGCCTCCCGGAGTAGCTGGGTTTACAGGGGTGGTTAGCCCACGGGTCCTGCTTGTTATTTATTTGTTTATTACGGAGACAGAGTTCGCCTCTGGCTCCCCAGGCTGGGTGCAGCTTAGGTTGCGGATCTTCAGCTCACTGCCAAGCCTGTGGCCTCCTGGGTTCAGCGTTCTCCTGCCTCGGAGCTCGCCGGTGACTGGGTTTACAGGTGGCCCCCATCGTGCGCCTGGCTAATTTTGTATTTTTGGGTAGGAGACAGAAGTTTTCACCTGTTGGGCCAGCTGCGGTCTCAACTCCTGACCTCAGGCCAGATTCCACCCGTCTCAGCCCTTTCCCAAAGTGCTGATTTTACAGGGCAACAGGGGCTTGGAGGACAATTTTTGTATTTTCGGTAGAGCTGGGATTTCCACCAGCATTCTTCGGCCAGCTGGGTTCTTAGGCCAGGGCTGTCCTCGAACTCCTGGATCCGTCATGATCTTGCGCCTGCTCGGCCTTTCCCAAAGTGGCTGGTATTTACAGGTTCAGACACTTGACAAGTGTTTGCATTATTGTTCTGGAGTTTTCTTCAAGGCTGGTGAACACACATGTCGTACTGTTCAGTGCTCTACAGCAAAATTATTACAGAACATCCCGCTGGCTGCTCGGCCTCACAGACCCTGGTAACATCCAGGTCCCTACTCAAGGATGCAAACTGTTCGTATTCCAAGATTGATGGGGTTATAGGTGTTCAAAATAAAATTCCAAAATGGAATGGAGTAAATTGTATTTTAAGGGAATTAAAGAAAAAAAAAAGAGGGTAACCTTCCCCCTCCCAAAAAAATTTTAAGGATTAACAGATTCATAAAAAGGATTGACAATAAAGGCTGGGGGCAGGTGGCTCAAGGTCCGGGTAATCCCAGCACTGTTGGGATGAGGCCGGATCTGACGGAACTGGGCGACAGAGCGAGACTCCGTCTCAAAAAAAAAAAAAAAAAAAGATTGAAATAAAGATTATCAGAACTTTGGCTTCATGCAAAAGCTAATAATGTGATAAACAAGATTCAAGAAAAAATTTTAAATACAAATAATATTAGGGCCTGGCCTGTAATCCCAGCATTTTGGGAGGCTGAGGCGGGCAGATCACCTGAGGTCAGGAGTTTGAGACTGCCTGGCCAACATGGTGAAACCCCGCCTCTACCAAAAATACAAAACTTAGCCAGGCATGGTGGTGCATGCCTGTAATCCCCGTTACTCAGGAGGCTGAGGCAGGAGAATCGCTTGATCCCAGGAAGCGGGGGTTGCAGTGAGCTGAGATCACATCACACTGCACTACAGCCTGGGCAATAGAGTGAGACTCCATCCCCAAAAAAACAAAAATAATAATAATAATAATAGAAATGAAAAGAAGGCCATAATTATAATTAAAATGAGATAAATTTACAGGTAAAGAAATTAAGCTCCAGAAATGTCAAATAACTTGTTCAGAGTTACATAGCTATGGAGTATAATTTATAAAATATAGTTTAACATTCAAATAATCGAGATGGTACTGACAAAAACCCTAACAGACAAATCAATACAACAAAATAGTAAACATAAATAGAATAAAATTTTATATGAAAACAAATGGCATTTTATCTTGGTGAAGAAAGGATGGGTTATTCAAAAAATATTGCTGGAACAACTGATTAACCATTTGGAATAAAAATAAAAGTAAACCTTTCTTATCCCAAACTGGAATAATCCAGATAACTTACAGATTTGAATGTGAAAATTGAAATTAAAGATGTACCTGAAAAAAATAAGTGAAAGTTTATATAATCTTAGAGCGAAGAAGTTATTGCCAAGAAAGATATCAAATATAGGCAAAATAAAGGAAAAGAGGCATAGATTTGAACATGCCTCTTTAAATATAAACTTAAAACTTTCATAGCAAACTATAAACTGGGGGAAAATCTGTAACATACATGATAGAAATAAAAAATAGTCATGACAAATTATGAGCTTTTTTTTGTACTTTAAGTTCTGAGGTATGTGTGTAAAACGTGCAGGTTTGTTACACAGGTATACACATGTCATGGTAGTTTGCTGCACACATCAACCCGTCGTCTACATTAGGTATTTCTCCTAATGCTATCCCTCCCCTAGCCCCCCACCCCCTGACAGGCCCCGGTGTGTGATGTTCCCCTCTCTGTGTCCATGTGTTCTCGTTGTTCAACTCCACTTATGAGTGAGAACATGCGGTGTTTGGTTCTCTGTTCTTGTGTTAGTTTGCTGAGAATGATGGTTTTCAGCTTCATCTATGTCCCTGCAAAGGACAGGAACTCATCGTTTTTCATGGCTGCATAGTATTCCATGGTGTATATGTGCCACGTTTTCTTTATCCAGTCTATCATTGATGGACATTTGGGTTGGTTCCAAGTCTTTGCTATTGTGAACGGTGCCGCAATAAACATACGTGTGCGTGTCTTTATAGTAGAATGGACACTGCACTCCAGCCTGGGTGACAGAGTGAGACCCCATCTCAAAATAAGATAAAATAAAATAACACATACAAACAGCCAATATATGTTTGGGGGAAATTGCATCCATCCTAATAATTGGATTTGGGGGAGTGGGTGGTTGTTTATTTTGTGGTTTTTTGGGTTTTTTTTTTTTGAGACAGGGTCTTACTCTGTCACCTAGGCTGGAGTGATCTCGGTTCACTACAACCTCTGCCCCTAGGACTCAAGTAATGCTCCCACCCCAGCCTCCCAAGTATCTGGGACCATAGGCATGCACAAGCATGACCAGCTATTTTTTTTTTTTTTGTATTTTTTTGTAGAGATGGGGTCTCACCATGTTGCCCAGGCTGGTCTCAAACTCCTGAGCTCAAGTGATCCGCCCACCTAAAAAGTGCTGGGATTACAGGCATGAGCCACTGTACCTGGCCCCGTCCAAATAATTGAAGAACTGAACTTAAAATCAGATACCATTATTTGTTATCCATTTGCAAACACCCAGGGTTGGCATAGCTTGGAGGAATGGAATTCCTATCATTGCTGGTGGGAATGTCCCCATCTGACTGAAGAGCAATTTGGCCATATGTGCCTTCCGAAGCCTATGAGAAGTGCATATCATCTGACTCAATAGTTCTACTTCTAGAAATGTATCTATGAAAAAGGCATGAAATGCATGTCTAGAGATGTAGAATGGATTCACCTATGTGGAGAAGAAATGAAATCAAGGCCAAAGATGTCCTCTATGTCAATACTTGCATGTGAGTTCTGAGGTATTTATGGTAAGATTTACTTATGGTAATTTTTACCCATAGGTTTTAACAGTGGCTGCCTTTCATAGCATGTAAACATTGTAATTGTATATTGCCACTATAGGACTTGAGAGTTCACCCAAGCAAGAATTGGTTGGCTCTATGGACGGTATCAGAGAGGGCCCTTTCCCAAGTTTTTTGTTTGTTTGCGTTAGGAGCAAAATTTAAATGTACTGCATGTCCCTGAGCAGCGAGCAGTGAAATCACACCTAAAACTTTAGCACACTTCCTTGCTTGCTTAAAAAGTTTTGTGGCAGCAGCAATCTAGAAAGTGGCCTGTGGCCACTATAATGGGGAACGCTTATCTGATGGACAAGGATGGGAAGAGCAATCTCTTGCTAAACTGACCAACAGCACACTCTCTAGATCAAGCTGACTACAGGATCTTCCTAAGAGTAACTCAACCTCAAATTTGAGCTGGAGACACTTAAACATGTCCTCAAGATGCCTCCCCGCCCTTCCCCTGGTAAAAGAAGATTAGCTGGAAGAGAAGCTGGAATTGCAAGTCTGAACACTTATTAATACTGATGCTAATACTAATACTGATGCTCCCACTGCATAGAGTACCATTCAGCTACTCCAAGCAAGCCAATTACTTCTCCACCCCCAGCTCCCAATGGCTTCCCTCTCCCCCATCTAGCTCAGAAGGCTATGGGGAGAAACAAACACGCTAAGGAGATACACCCTGCTTGAAAGGTTCACCATTTATCATGAAAATTGTTATTCAAGTGCAATAAATGTCAAATAAGCCAGAAGCCAGAAAATTCTGACAAGTTTCTAAAACACCACAAAATAAGAAGAAATGATGTAATTAAAGGCCAAGAGAAGGTTCTTGTAACCAGAAAGGAATTCGAGGGAAAAAAGAGAATTTGGAAGAAAGTCTGTTTCTTTATTGCCATCTGTGGAATTCAGGATAATTATTTCCATTTTTTTTAGGCAGGAATAACACCTTACATAACCAAAGCACTTTCATATGTTTGTCATCTCAGCTGATTGTCACAATAGCTCTGTCTGGCAGGGAGAAAAATAATACATCAAGCCATGTTTGTTTAACATGGATATTCATTTAACCAAACACTATTTCCCACCCCTGCTTATCTGCTTCATAATGGGCCTAAGGATCAAGGACAGAAATTTTTAACCTGGTTTTTTATTATATCCCCTCCCCCATAAGCAGTAATGAAAGCAATCGGTTCTCTGATGGAAAAATGCACACACACACACACACACACGTATCTTCAATTAGTTTGTGGAACCCCTTCCTTCCTGAAATCCATAGATTCCATGTTAAGCTAAACTCAGATGTGTTTTCCTGAATAGACTCTCCTACACAGCAGGAAAGGACACCATGGGTCTTTCATTAATGTGGTCTGGGACCTGGTGCCCTTCTGGTACCCCTAACTCAAAAACATGGATCCTCCCTAGGACATCCTTAAAACAGCAGCTTCTTCCTTTACCCCAAACCAAACTGGAAACTGCAGGAAGGCCTGGAGCTTAAAGTTTGAGAATCCCAGAACCCTTTTCTCCTTGCTGTTCCAGACACACTTGGACAATTAATAGTTCTAACTCCTCCAGCTCCTCCTTCTCTGCGGTCCCAGCTTATATTAATAGCTGGGTGGAATGAGTTGTACCTCCCTCCTTTCTCCCCACTGTGAAGGAGAATGAGATCACAGACCCAGAATACAGAAGACCAGGGAGAAAGCTAAGATCTGATCCAGCAAAGTCTGGACATTTCACAATCCCTTTTTGCAGCACTCAGGCCTCTCACCTATAACAGGTAAATGACAATTTGAGCGCAGGCGCGCTCTGAGCTTTTCTGGGCGACCGTGGCTGTTCAGGCGCCATGACACTGTTCTCTAAAGGCAAACGCGTCCCTGAATATCCTCCTTGGCCTTAACCAATTATGGAGCTACCAGCCATCATTTAATTTTTAAAGTGTTCATAATTCCCACCTAAACTGTCCCGTCCAATAAACAGTGACACAAACCTATTAATAGCTGAGCAAAGATGAAAGGACACAGGCTCGGGAGTATGGCAGACTCACGTCAAATCTCAAGCTCATGTCAAATCCCAGGCTCACCATTTATTAACCCAAGCACTGGGAAGGTCAAATCTCTGGCTCCCTTTACTCATAAGGGAGATCCAGTGAGGTAATTTATGAGACTCTCTGCTTCGGTGGTGCTCTCTGCCTAATCAAATCTCGGGTTAGCACAGACATAAGCTACTATTCAAGCAGCTCTTTTTACATGCCCCCAAATTAGCTTCCTTCTAAATTTCAAATGGTGCCCTCCACCTGCCCCCGCCCCCGGATGTAGTATACTTGGATGTGGCCACCAACTCCACACCCAGTGAGTGCTCTGGATTTCTTAGAACTCAACTGTAGGTCCTCTCCACCTCGGTCATACCAGAGTCCCTTTTTTCTGGAACCTTCTCTAGCTCTCTGCCGCGGGTCGCGCTTGAGATAGAGGGGAGACAGCAGCCCCGTGGACCGTTTCCAGTGATCATGGATGGACTCATCTGTGCACATGTTGATTTTAAATATTAGAAGCAACCCAGAGACAAAGAAAAGAACCTCTTAAGAAAGGTATCAGTCAAAACAAACAAATTCCACAGGCCACCGAAAGTCAGGCGGGCAGGACTGGCCTGTAAACCAGAGCCTCCCTCCCTCCACCTGGGCGATGCGTGGTTTGGAAGCCCTCGGAGCTCCAGCAAGTCCGCCCCCAGCCCGAGCCAGGCTCGCTGCACCCCCCATCCAGCTCCTTCTTTTCCACCTCAGAGTCTTCCCACCCCCTTCCCCAGGGGAGGCCCCGGTCTGTGCTCAGAGGCCTCCACGGAGCATGCGGCCGGGACCAACGAACCAACTGGCAGCCAAACTGCCTGCCGAACGCACGCCACGCCGAGGCCGAGGAACCGAGAGCCGAGAGCAAAAGGGACGCTGCGGCCGCCTGCTTCTCCCACGGCGGCGCGTTCCGGGGTTGCCGGGACACCGGCTGCAGCAACGCGGCGCGCAGCGTCCTGCCTGGCTCGGCTGCCGGCCCCACTGTCTGTCACCCCCGGACTCTCTTGCCATTGATACAGGATGGAGGCTTCTGAGAGATGAGGAGCTAGGGGCTCCAGCCATGGCCCGGCGTCACAGGCAAGGACCGCTGCAAAAGCCACTTTGTGGTTTTGGATTTTTTTTTTTTTTTTTTTTTAAGAGTTGTGGTTCTTTTCCAGGCAATTTTCATTATTAGAACTGTAGGCTCTGGTAGCAGTGAAAGATGCGCCCTCCACAAAGCTTGCAGATGCCTGGTTATAATTGGCATTGATTAGACAGGATCCACCTACCACTTACAGAGCGTCTTTTCTGGGCCAGGCGCCCTGGTGGATGTTATCTTCCTTAAGCAGCCAGCTGCATTTTTCAAAATAGAAAACCAAATTTTAGCAAAGGCTTGCTCAAGGTCACCCAGAAAACAGATTCATTTCTAAGTTTCCTCATTCCAAATCCACCACTCTTTCCATCATATTGACTTAAATTTATCTTCCTCATCCTTTCCAGTATTTAATAAATCTTGCATAGAAAGCTTTTCTCCAAGTCTAGTTTAAGTCCCTAAATTCGTGTTTAGACCAAATTTTCCCTTTTTTAAATTACTGATTATAAGAGAAATAAATGGTCATTATAGAAATATTGGAAAATATGGAAAAGTATTGTTAATATCCATGATCTCACAACATAGAAGTTAAATACTCTTTTTCTGGATAGCTATTGCTGTATAACAAATCACCCCCAAACTCCGCTGTTTTAAACAACAACATCCATTTTTAATTTCTGATTCTGGTGGTTGGCTAGGCTAAGCTAGGCTGCTCATGCTTGGGGTCTCTCACAGGGTCTCAGTCAGAGGTCACAGAGGAGCTTCCTCACTCATGTGTCTGGTGATTGATGCTGGTTGTCAGCTGAGGTCAGCAGGGTTAGCGCCAGTTCACCCATGTGTGGCCTTTCCATGTGCTTTCTAACACCAGTGTCCGTTTCCAATGTGAGCATCCCAGGAGGACCAGGCAGAAGTTGTATTGCCTCCATGGTCACAAATGCATGGAGAGGGAACTTAGATCACACCTATCCATCATGGTCATACTGTATGAAGAGCACAGGGGACAGGGGAGCTTGTGGCCCTCCTAGAAAACACAACCTCCCCTACTGATATTTAGGAGTTGTTTCCTCCTTGCCCTTTTTCTATGCACATGTATGTCATATACCGCTAGTGATTTACACCCCTGCTGATATTTAGGGGCTGCTTCCTCTCTGCCCTTTTTCTGTGCACAAATGTGTTAATATTATATATATATATATATATATCTCTTGTATTGGGCTTTTAAAATTTAAGATTACAGTTGATGGCCAGGGGCTGTGGCTCACGCCTATAATCCCATAATCCCAGCACTTTGGGAGGCGGAGGTGGGTGGATCACTTGAGGTCAGGAGTTCAAGACCAGCCTGGCCATCATGATGAACTATGTCTCTACTAAAAACACACACACACACAAAATTAGCCAGGTGTGGTGGCAGGCACCTGTAATTCCAGCTACTTGGAGTGCTGAAGAAGAACTGCTTGAACCCAGGAGGCAGAGGTTACAGTAAGCTGAGATCATGCCACTCCATATTCCATCCTGGGCAAGAAACTGGGACTCCATCTCAAAAAAAAAAAAAAGTTGGCCCTCCATATCTGAGGGTTTTGGATCCACAGATATGACCAACTACAGATTGGAAATATTCAAAAAATACATTAAAATTTAAAATAATACAGATAAAAACAACAAAGTATAGCAACAATTTACATAGCATTTACGTTGTTTTTGGTATTATAAATAATCTAGGGATGATTTGAAGTACTGTACAGGAGGATGTGCATAGGTTATATGCAAATACTATGTCATTTTGTAAAAGGGACTTGAACATCCTTGATATGCTCAAGATTTTGGTATGGGAGGGGAGTCCTAGAACCGATCCCCCAGGGATACAGAGGGATGGCTGCATATCCTGAGCATTTCCCCTTATCAAAGTTTAAAAAACGTGTTATCTCTTTATCCCATGGTAGAAGAGGTAATAGTTTTGTAATAGAAATGTTAGCTGGGCAACAGCATAGTTAGGTGAGTATTAATGGCTTGACTCAAGATGCTGCCTCACCAGGAAGGCAGAGATTTTTGTCTGTTTTATCCACTGCTACTAGCACAGTGCCTGGCACATATAGATGCTCAATAACCATTTGTTTAATGAATGAATAAATGAGTGAGTGGGTGGGTGGATGGATGGATGATTACAATGGTCTGAGCTGAGCTCCTCCCTCTCTTGCTTGCATCCTCCTAGGAGGAAGGAGACCAGGTTTCTAACCTGAACCACCAGGTTCCAAGATATCAAGATCTATCTGTTGGTCAGGTGATTTTGCTAGGCAGGCGAGTGAGTCACAGAAGGGAAACTTTCTCATCCTTGGTGAGTCCTGTGAACTGTGACTCATAAACCTTCCCTTACTCTGCAGCTTAAAACCTCCCAGGCCACCTTGCCCTCACTCCTTGGGCAAGTTTTAGATGCCTGCTGCACCAGGCCTGCCCTGGCAGCTGTACCCAAGGTTTGGCAAGGCACTGGAGCCAGCTAAGGGGTTCTCAGGGCCTCGGAGCTGCCTCTGATCAGCTTGGCCCCCCACACAGCCGGTGTGTTCCCAGGATTTGCACCTGAAGCTTCCTGTGCACAGCAGCACCACAGCCAGAGCTCAGCAGCAGAGGTGAGGGACGGATGCTGGGTGTTCCCAGAAGGCTGAGGATCCTGAAGGTCCCAGAAAATCCTGCCCGTAGAGCTGGGAGGGTGAGCACAGTTGGGCAAGAAGAAGGCTTCCTCAGTGTTCCCTTGCCGGCCCCTGGCTGAGCACCCCAAACCAAGCCCGGTCTGGAAGTTACCACAGAACCTGGAGGCCTGATGTGGGGAGGAATGGTGGTCCCAGGTCCTTAAGGTCAACTCAACTCTTTCTCCAGCTTTAGGGCCCTCCTTTCAGCTCTACAGTCCAGGATCCTGATGTTCCACAAGCCTGGTCCTCATAGGTCTGAATGAGCTCAGGAAACCTGGGACTCCAAGCCACTACAAACACACACAGGGCTTACATGTGGAGTATTTCACTGAACTAGATAAAATTTCTGGTTATGTAGGTGAAACATAGTTGCATATCAGCAAATTTATGTTATTCGACTTAATCATGAAAGACAAATACTTCAAGCAGGTTTCATGGTGAGGCCAGGGGAGGGTGGGCTGAACTTTAACCCCTCCTCTTCTCCTTTGCTCCTTCTCCTTGAAGTACCCCACTTCGCTTTCAGTAACTGGGAGCTTGGCTCTGGGAAGGAATGGTAGACAGTGAGGCGGGGGTGGAAGCAGGGGGCCGGGCACTGGATAGGAATGGTTGGTTCTGGTTCTCCCCTGGCTCCCGCAACTCCAGACCCCTGAGAGCAGCTGGGACAGCCATAAGAATTAAGAGCCCAGAGATTAGAGGAAACCAGACAGTGGAGGGAGAAAGATAAACTCAAATAAACTCTACCCCGTTCCTCTTGAGTCTTGGCAGGACAAAAAGTGCCTGCTGGAGAAAGAAACTTGAGCCTAGAAGGATGGTATTATTTAATGGCCTAGGGTCAGAGACATTGGTAAAAAGCCTCTGAGTTTGGTAAGCCTCAAGAGCTGCAAGCTAAACTGGGCCAGGAGGGCATCTTAAACACCACTTCTCCTCGAAAGAGCACTGCAGACGGTCCCTATAGGGGAGACTGTCTTCCCCAATGTCAAGGAAAGGTCATCCAGCAGAAGCCCTCATGTAACACGCTTGTCCCATAAGTATGCACCAGAGGGCAGTATAAACCCAGGTATGGAAAACGGGATGCGCTGATAGATTCTCTACTGTTGACTTCAAGTAAGGGGCATCATAGAGACTTGTATAAAGACAGCGCTGAGGAAATAGGTGTTGAGTGGATTACTGACGCACGGCCACCTTCAGAAACCTTCAATGGTAGGTAGAGGAAGCCTGGCAAAGATGGAGGAGAGAGAGAATTTGCTACCTCAGAATTGACTAACATGGCCAGCTCCCAAATAGCCAGAGGGCCTCCCCATCAGTTCAGGCCAGGAAACAATGACCAGACCCCTGTTATGTTCCAGGCACTGTGCTAGGTACAGGAATTTAAAGGTGAATAAAACACAGTCCCTTCCCTGACTGAGTTCCCCTGATAGCTATGCCCATCTCTTTACATTTATTATCTCATTTAATCCCAACCACAGTAAAGTGCTAGTAAATCATCCTCTGTTTACAAATGAGGAAAGACAGACTCAGAAGGCAGAAGTAACTTGTCTCACCAGTAACTGGCAAAGCTGGAGTTTAAATCCAGTCTCTTTGGATTCAGAGCCTAAGCTCTCACCGCTGTGCCAGAGCCTTCCTATATGTGCCCTCAGCAGTGAGCAGGTCTGTTTGTCATCTCAGTACTGGCCAGGCTGTCAGGGTTACATCCTAGGCTGCCAGACTGTGCGGGAGAGGCCTGAGAGGACGCTTGTCCCCAGAAACACAAAAGTCCCTTTAGATTTGGATTTCTGAGTAACATAAATCAATGACTAAGATTTTAGGATGTATGTAACCTATGTAATATATAAAACAGACATGTAGAGTAAGGATACCAGCTTCTGTGAGTGGAATGCCTATTCTCTACAGAACAGGAAAGGAAAAGGCTGAATTAGGTGAGGTTGCAGTGAAATTCCTTCAATATCAGGTTTAACCCAATATGGACTAGGAAGTCACTGCAGATCTCTCATCAGAGGGATGATGAGGCAAAAGTGGCATATGCTGTCCATCCTTGTATCTCTCCCAGGTCCACTCCCACAGTCACCACCTTGTTCTGTGCCTGGGAGGTTGGCCTATGTGGACTTCACCCCCCAAATCCCATGGCAGCACTGGAGGAAGGCAGGGAGGAAAGTGAAGTCAGGGTATTTACCCCTCCATCCCCAGCTTCTGTCCTGTTGGCCTCAGTTGTCTATGTCTCTCCACTTAGGGCCACAGCCCCTGTCAGGGGTGGGTTCCACACAGCTCTCTTTGGGGA